TTGTTGTCGATAGTGATGATGATGAGGGGCATTTAGGGGGGGGGGGGGTTGATCCCACTTCCGATCAACCGCTTATGACCAGGGGGTTCCTGGACTAGAAAATTCATAGTTCCGTGAGATGCGCATTGTGTATGATAACAATAAGGAAACACGTACACTGTGCTTCTCGCCGTTTAGCGTAGGTTGGCTTTACCCACATTATGATATATCCACTGAGAATACCGCTTAGTCTACAAACATTCTCATTTTCACACAAATTTGTTTAGACAGGAGACTCAACCGAACCCATCTGAAGCGGGGTATCCTAAACGGCACCGTGTATGCTGTAAAAACAGGATTGCTGGTGGTTAGCATCAACTAGGGCAAGTCAGGCGATACAAGAAGACTTACTCCGTCTGCGTGGAAAGCCATCGCTCTAAGTCTTCGTTATTTGAGTCGAGGGCCTTACGAGCAGCAGTCTTAGTCAAATCACCGCCGAGAAAACATCGTTTCATATAGGCGTGTTGGACTTTAGCGAGTTCTTTCAAATCTTCTTTCGGAAGATAGAAACTGGAACAATAAGAGTAGTATCACATGGTGTTAAGAAGCAAAATGAGTGCCGAATGTTCCACAGTTCAAGCTGATAATAATACAATTCAATAATTGTTTTTTTATTGTAAAAAATGCATCACGTGATGCGCATTTAAGAGTCCATCAAGCGTTCTTAACATTGGTTATCATCGTACTTGGTAACACTTGATTTCCCAGGACTGTACAGCTTCATTTTACTTGATATGCAAAACGCGTGATCATCAGGAGGAAGACGAAGCGATGAACGTACCAAGGCCAAATTCCCTACCTTGTTCAAATCACCTGAGCTTGGACATCACATGACTGAAGCCCAGTCAAGGTGGAATGTGGAATGCTCCGAAGCAGCTATGTTATGCTGTGACCAAATAGCTGTCGCTACCTGTTGGGCCTAACAGGTTTAGTCATGGATTTATTAGTGCCACAAGCAGTCCACCACATTCGGTATCTAGCAAGAGTGCAACCATGCTGTCACTGTAGCACACGATGTGGTTTACATACAAACCAAACGTAGTAAGCCATGTAAAGCTGGCACTCCCGACATATAGCCAGTTCTAATCATGGCATGCGTCAACGCTCCCACTGAACTAGCGACCACATCGTCCAGTTGGTGTATATCTCCTGGGAAGGTTACCTATGGGTGAATGACGGCGGGGAGAAAACCGGTGTCCAGAAAAGGAAACAACATAGTGCGCTTCTACTCTCCTAAAAACATACGAAGGAATACCCGTGAGCAGAATATAGACTGTCTTGCTGACCGAGGATGGTCGCGCTCCATGCTGGAGGCCGCTGTACAAATACCTACAAAGTTCGACAAAACCGTTGTTTTCAGATTACACAAATGCGTTTGCCAGCATTGACCGAGGTGTGTGGCTGCTTGTAGACGGTGGAACTGAGCACAGCCTGCTTATGTTGATCCAGAACGAATGCCCATCTCTCACTGTCAGCAACGTCCGCACCGAAACTTGTAGCGACCCAGTCACACACATACTTGACTGTTCAACTCAATCGCCCACTGGATCGCGAGGCTTGTCTATTTTCTCATGCGCACAAACACGTCCCACTAAGCTGACACATCGGACATCGATTGTCTGAACCGCCTAGTCAGAGTAGCAACCACTCATGTACCGACGCGCCCACATACACGCACTGGGAACTACATAAAGTCAAACCGAACCCAGTCAAAACACAAACTCGCGCGCGCGCAGGAAGCAGGACGTCAACCTCCCCACAAGTCCACGGACAATCATGAAACACGTGTAGCAGCCAAACTGCGGAGAAAACACGTTACCACCATCCGGACTTTCACCAAGGCACTCTCACATACGACAAGTTCCTTTTTGACTTGCTCCCATTTCACATTGTATTTATTTTATACGTGTCGCAACCATGTTAAAAACTTCTATTAGTGCACATTCACCTTCTGATTTGTATTATGACTATCGTCACCTGTGCACTAATAAACTCAGCAACATGATGTACTTGGGATTGATGCTTTGGAAGAATCTCATCTAGTCCCCTTGCTAAAGCTCGCGTACGCAGGCTGAAGATACTATCAATTACGACGTTTATACAGACCAGATGTACTGTCCCACCACTGTATTCCCGCGTTACTCCAAAAGGATTTCTCTCATTAGAAAGTCCTTGAGGTATGCTTCGAAACGCAGCGGTCGATCTTATGGTCAACCAAAACGATGAATCAACAAGCCGCTTTGTCTCGGACAACTACCACTTCTAGAAAACGATCCAAATTCAGAATATTGTCTGTTCATACGGAAATCTACGATAATTATGTTCTCCCTCATATGGCCCAACATTTCTTTGGCAATGCCTTGGTGACGGATCGCCTGGGGCTAAAAATTCTTGATTGTTTAGTACCCTCGACTCAAACATACTTATATCTGCCTATTTGTTTGAAAGTCACACATCATATGGTCTCACACTTCTGTAATTTCGTGTGTGGGAAATACACCCTCAGGTGCATAATGATTCCCTTCACATGAATTGATGAGATGAAGGAAGACAGATGGATCTCTTCGTGGTTCTCCTACATCCACAGAAAAGCTATTAGGTTCGTGGAGGAACAACGGAAAACATCTAGGTCCTCAATAGAAACAAAAAGTGCTTCGTTGTTGTGCAGTTACCAACACAGCGAGCTTACTTAGTCATCCGCAGAACATCCTCGAGAAAGAACGTTTGTACGGGAAAGAGACGACCGGGTATTTCCAGTTTCATACAATTACCTGGAAAAAGCAGAGCAAGATGCCACATGGGGATATACAGGAATAGGAAACAGCGTAGTCTGGCATTTAGTTCGACTGTTGACCCAGAGGCGGATCGTGGTCGCTCGTGTAGGAACACTGAGAGTAACGGACAAAAGAAAACTAGGGACAGGCAAAAGTAGAAAACACAGTGAGCCACGACAGAATATGGTAGCACCCTCAGGAGTGTTGGTGTGATCGAATGGATGGGAAAGTGACACAGTTCTGTTTTGGAAGGCATTGGGAATCGAAATGGTCGTCTTTGAAGGTAAAATGTGGCTAGGTAGAGAAGAGACACGTTTAAAGCGAAATCCGAAAGCCTCATATCCCAATACCGCAATACTCAGGTGACGCATGAACGCATTTGAAACGACAGGAAAGCAAGATAGTGTGACATCAAGCGTGGGGGCTACTTAACCGTCTAACTTTCGAGAGCGGCAGGTGATGGTGGGAGTCAGCTTATTAGAAGAGTCCGCTTCGCCCAAAGTCAGTATATATGTCTTCATAGTTTTAGCAACGCGATGCAAGTTGTGGGACCTGGAACTCAGACGCAAGAAGACCAGTCAGACTCGAATGAGGCAGACTTGCACTACGCAGATATGGATGGATTACGTGTCCATACCTCGGACCATCCGATTTTCAGAATCAAGGTTCGGTTAAATTACAAACGAAGCTCGTTTTCTCCCAAGAACTAGCTATCGAAACGAGTAGACGTTTCCATTGCACTTCAACTGTGTGTGAGATGGACATACAAAGCCTATAGTTCAGGCTAAAAACTACACAGAACTAGTGTTGGATAAGTTGTACAAGAAGTTGACGCAGTGAGACTAGCTGATAACCCAGATGGAAGAGTATTTTGGGCAGACAGATTGGACAGATTTTGACAAATGCACTCATTTGCGCATCAATCTGGTTCCCAAGAGGGACTCAACTGAATCTTTCGTTTATGGCATTCGTCAACTTAATATTCTGCACAAAAGCCGCCTCATGTTTCAGTAAGCACGATATTCGAGATATCGCAGTATATGTTCATAAAGGAAACTACTCATAAGCTTGCTGAAACTTCGACAACCCACGACCAGTTTCGCCCGTCTTGAGGCTCATCCGGTAGGCACAGTCCCCGAGTTTTCGTAAACCCTATGTTCTTCTTGAACCCAAATTACGAAGTTAGCAAAAAGCAGCATAAACGAGGGATTCAGCCGGGTCTTTCGTGAGCTCTGTGTCTTCGAAAAACTGGACTGAAGATTGCATACGGAGAAAAAGAGGACACGGACCAAAAAGAACGCCAACAGATATGCAACACTATACAATCGAGATTTTTATCGATCGACTGTCGGCAGAACATGGATACAGTAATCACAGTAGTAAGAGGGCAAAGTTACGGCATGAAAGATTAGTAATCGAGCCCAGTTCCAACCCAAGATTAAACTTGTTTGGATCTTAGCAAACTGGCAGTATGTCAACTATCGTGCATCCTGAAATCAGCGAACGAGTATGAAGCTGAACTGCTGCTTATCGTTGGACACACGCCATAGGGTATATGCATTGGTTGAATAAGCTCGTACGTGACGGTGCCATGCTGCAAAAAAAAAACAGAATAACTGCAAAATATCATCAAAGAGCGGTAACAATGAGGTGTTGACGTACCGAAGTAGGAGGAAAACTGGTCAGCATTCAGAGTTGCGGACATTACGACAACGCGAAGGTCGGGGCGTGATTCCGTGATATCACGTAGGACATTCAGGAGGAAGTCACAGAGGAACTCGCGTTCGTGCACTTCATCCACAATTATATGGCTGATATTCTGAAAGGAATATAGCAAGCCGTAAGATTAGGTTATCTGTTGACAAGATCAACCAGAGTTCGCCTTGAACGACGCTATGCTTTGGAAGAAATTAGTGGACCTTCTACACCCAACACTGAATGTGAAAAAAAACCCAACTTAAAACCCTTAGAATGAGCAACGCGCTCAACACGTTTCAACAAGTGGATGAAATACAAATCAAGAACGAACTTCCTCGAAATAAACCCCACTGGCCAAATGCCCTGATGTGCCGATGAGGTTCTAGGGAACATGGAGTCGAAGTGTTGCAAGACAGTCCGAAGTAATGACTAAAGAATCGCGAACGAAAACTGTCTGTAACAGCTAGGCAAATTTGCCCAAGATTTTCAACTTATGGTGCCATGCTGAAAGACGCGGGAGCCAAAAGATGTATCATGATCAAACACCAACGAAGACCCACAGAATCCGGATCGATCTGTCATGGAATTAAACTGAAGCAGTAGTAACGGTAAAAAACGAGTGCTGACAAAGCTTTCGCAGTTGTACGTACGCTGATAGTCTTGGGGTGTTGTGTGACGAAACATCCGAAGTCGTTTGCCCATCCCAACAAAGTACACCCCGTTACATTGAGATTTGTTGTAAATGCACTCGCTTACAGGTGCGAGTGAAGGATTTCCCCTAGTACAAGACCCCACTATCGTCTTTCCTTGTTTACCGTTCCTAAACTTCTACGTCACCTGAATCAGTGTTTTGTAGATTTCAAGGATGCAGCTTGATGTCACGATGAATGATCTGGCAGAACCACACGATCGGTGTAGGCACGCACACCTGCTGAATGTAAACGTAGAATACGGGAAGCGCAAACAGGTCTTCCACACTGCTCTAGCTATCCGATATGCTGTCCATTACCTTTCGACCGATGTGATAACATTATTGCAACGGCTGGACAACAGTATAAGTCACGCTTTCAAGGATATTAGATCGTGACAACCCAGATAAAATCACTGTTCTGACCCATCAGAAGACGTAGAAGTATGCTCGTCATATAAATTTAAATGAATTCTTCAGTCAAATGAAAAATGAGTATTTCCGACCTAAGGACACAGGAAGTTCGATCCTTTCAACATATCACAGCTGAACAGGCTGTCCCTAGCACCGCTAACGATGACATCCAGACACGCAAATTTTCCAGACTGGACTTTGTGTCATATTAACAGTTTCTTCAAAATGGTCTACCTTATTTCAGTGGGGAATAAGAGGGGAAGAGCATTAACGGTTCTGTAAACTACTTACGTTATCTATAGTCGAAGTGAGCATATCAGACAGACACCGCCAGGAATGGTCGCTTAATCAATCCCTACAATGTTAACGGAGTCCAACATCCTTATGTTGCTACACGTACACCACTGCGCCTTAATTTCGTATTCTAAAGTGGAATTCATCATCATCATCATCATCAAAGTGGAATTACAGCGGATGGCCACCACCGCTGTTTAAAGAGCATCTCACTTTGACTTAAATATGAATATTTCTAAAACAATTGTTGTCCATCAGTCTGCATTGGAAGAGGGAGGCAGGTTAATAAATAGTTATGAGGCAGCGTGGTGTATGGACTTCTGCCATCTTGTGGCGCACTATCAACAGATCTGTCGCTGGACAGTGCAAAACTCATTGCAAAAAGACACTGCAAAAGTGAACGCGGCATATGACCGTCCTGAGAAACACGTCCAGGGCGTACATCACTTGTGTAAAGATAACCAGATTTCAGTGTGCTGAACTTTCATTTTGTCTCCATTACGTTATGACTGCGAAGCCTGAACACTGCATAGACAACATGTTCGGTTTCCTGACCGGTTGGACTTGCAGTGTCTACACAAAATCTTCCGGAACGAATGAACTGACAAAAGTGAGTACACCCATGTCTTTGGGAGTCGAATGCACGCTGATGGGAAAGGAGTTCCGCTCGTTGGGTCGACTGGAAGGAATTAAAATAATCTGTGTAGGGTCAGCTGAAGTATGGGGTCTTAACTCAGGGACGCGTGAAGTCCCGCTTTTCGGATAGCTTTCATGGAAGTCTGAAATACTGACTTCGAGTACCTGAGGCCACGGGATGGCCTGGCACTCGGCAGAGAGGTTTGGAGAACGGATATCCACTCAACCATGAGGCCCTAGGACACGGCAAATCGCGGTGCAACCTTGAGCATGCGAACCCGCGGATCATGTGGAGGCAAATGCCTTAGTGGGACTGGCCTTGTGGTAGACCTTACACCTTTTGGGACCGTGTTACTTTTGTTTGAGTTTTTACTGGGTACCTACTAGAGAGTGTCATCTTAAGGACCACAACATCACTAACCATATGGTTATTGAAATCTTATCGCGTTGCCCATTTTAAAAAAAAATTTAAAAATCGCTCAGCTGTAACACCAGTCCGGTGCGTTGCTGCCATGCCACCCAAGGAAGCACGAGGGCTGGGATAATGCCAGCTTGCCCAATCCTAGACAGGGAAAGCCGAGATGCAGAAATCGGGTTCGAACCACGGATCTTTCGGTCACTAAATTCGCGCTCTAACCACTTGAGTCACCCCATTACTATCTTGACGGTTCATTAATGAACTTCCCCTGGAGGCACGTTGCTACAGTTGCGGTAGTGCAGTATGACACCGTAACTTGAAGCAGTTAACGAATGACGTCAGTCTCTCGATGATAAAGAACTAACTGGTGTGGATACCCATTGTGATGTGGACCGATTTGCAACAGGTCTCTGCACGTTGTCCTGCAGACTTTAATTCCTCAGGTCTGAATTGGCGGTATAATCTCGCCGGCAGTAGCACGTTCCAATTATACGAAGGCGTCCGATAACTTGGTCCGATTCGGATGTGTTGCCGATTATCGTCTGCCAGCTTCACTCAGATCTCACACTTGATGTCGAAGTCTCGTGTTTCGGGTAGTGAAAGTTTATGATTACTCTGGAAAAGTGGCATATGACCGCACTAACTTCGTTAAACCACCTTCTTGGTTAGTGCACCCAACGGAAGAAACCTGGTCAACCACATCAGATTATCCGTTCCGCACACTGTGAAACCACAATCGATAACGGATGATCACTGTAGGTAATTTAATAGGCTGGACACATATCTGGACTGCGGTTAGGTTACCGCAAATAAGAAGGGTTCTCAAAAAACACAAAAGATGGTCAGTCTGACGGACAGATCACACAACCGGACCAAACTGACGCTCGAGAAGGAATATGAAAACGGTTCAACTGAAGCTTACTTGGAATGTCGGATCGGAGTGCAACCACTGGAGAAGCATGCCCGTGGTTAGGTACATTATAGATCCGGAAAGCTGACGGGGATAGCATCGATCCAAACGAACCTGATAACCTATAGATGAGCCTAGAGCCTCTCCACGTTCAGCTGCCACGCGTTCGGCCACGGAGATGGCACTGATTCGGCGTGGTTGAGTAACAACAATGCGAGTGACTGAACCGTTTCCACGAGTGATCTCATCTTCGAGAATCAACTGAGGGATTTGGGTTGTTTTGCCACAACCAGTCTCACCACTGATGACGACGACTTGATTTGACCGAACAGCATCGATGATTTCCTAAAAAGTCGACTTGAAGTGTAACTTTGGATGGTGAACGGGATTAAAAGAAAACAGGACCAAGTATGAAGTCAGACAGCTTCGTACCTTTCGCCTAACGTATGCAGGGAGTTTCTGACGAACTTCCAACATCTGACGATAGGCTTCTGAAGACTGCTTCCTACATAGATCCGACGCTAAAGTGGAATCTAACTCCCGGTTACGAGTGAGAGAAAGATTTCTTATCTGCATGGGATCCGATTCCATTGAGACGCCATTGATCCGTCGATCCAAAGACTGAAGTGAATCGTTGCTCGGGCTCGCTGCAACTTTTCCAGTTTTGCTTGGGTCACTGCGCTCACTCAGATCAAAGGGGTCCATGTCATCAGGAGTGGTAACTAGTTCTGCCGGTACTGGTTCTGAATTGGTGTTATGAGTGAGATTGAGAACGTTTCGTAGCCTAGTCACGTTGATCCCTGTCATGTCTAATGTAGCAGCCTATGGTAAGCAAAGAAAAAAGAAATCATCACCGATGTTGCAACAAAAAATCAGGAGCCTGTAGTGAAAGTTACTGCTATTTCCATTAATTCACTTTCACTTGTCATTTCAGCCTATACTGTGCTTATTTGTTGAATAAAGCTTATCCTTAGGCGAAGTCTTCTCATTCTACTCAACGGATCAATAATCGATTAACTAAGTCATCGACTCCCACTACAATTTATTTCTCATCCATGGAACGCTTTGCTCAACCAGCCAGATTTGACGCGGATCCATACGCTCCTGATGCAACCGACCAATGGACTCACTGGTATCGTACATTCTCCCATTTTTTATCTTGTATTGAGACGCATAATCCGGACAAACTGGAACTTTTGATCAATTATCTTTCTCCTTCTGTCTATAAATCCGTTTCTGAGTGCACCACTTTCAAAGAAGCTGTCGATACTCTTTGTTCAATCTATGCCCCCACCAAAAGCGAAATTTTCGCTCGACACGTTCTTCACACATGCAAACAAGACAATGAGCAAACACTCGATCAGTATGTGCAAAAGTTACGGACGTTAGCTGTTGATTGTAATTATCAAAGTGTGATAGGCGATGTACGTCGTGACGAAGCTATCAGGGACGCATTTATATCGGGCATTCAGTCTACTCAAATCCGCCAGAGGTTGTTGGAGCACCATACGTTGACGCTACGTGAAACCGTAGAAAAATCTAAAGCATTAGAATCGGCATACAAACAGGCATTGTCGTATCAAGTACCCATCTCATCCAACCCTTGCAACGCTGCTCCACAAAGTGGCTTAATTCAAGATACAGCCCAGTCAGAAGATACAATCCTGGTTTCTGCGGTAACTAATAAATGTTTCTTTTGTGGCTATAGCCGACATCCGCGAACAGCCTGTCCCGCCAGAGATGCCATATGCAAGCTGTGTGGTAAAAAGGGTCACTTTCAGTCAGTTTGTCGTTCCAAACAGAAAATCAAGCCACAGACGGCGACTACTCAATCTTTGTTGTCGGCGCTTACTGTTGCGTCTGCTCCCGTATGCCTACAACGAGCGATTAGCCATGTTCATGTTAACGGTGTCCGTCTCCAAGCCCTAGTCGATACTGGTAGTTCTGAGAGTTATATCTCAGCATCAGTCGTCAATAAGTATAGCTGGCGAGTACTTGAATCAAGAAGCAAAATCTCTATGGCTAACACATCTTTTGTGAGTGATACCCTTGGACATTGTCTGGTGCACCTACAGCTAAAAGACTTCGATTACAAAAATGTCAGGCTATCCGTTCTGCCGCATCTATGTGCTGATGTGTTGCTCGGTCACGACTTCCTCAACCTGCACGAGGGATTAGAAATACCATTCGGCGGTTCCCGACCACCTGTTTCCCTTTGCAATTTGACAGCTGCTAAGGTTCCTGAACCGACTTTGTTCCAGAATCTATCACCAATGTGTAAACCTGTCGCGACAAAAACCAGACGTCAGTCTTTTCCTGATCAACTTTTTATTCGCAAGGAAATAAATACCCTGTTGCGTGATGGAGTTATAGAGCCATCAACGTCACCATGGCGCGCTCAAGTCTTGGTCACAACCAACGAGCGTCACAAGAAACGAATGGTGGTTGATTATAGTCAAACAATTAACCGTTATACGTATCTGGACGCGTATCCACTCCCACGCATCGATGAAATGATAGAAAAGATCGCTTGTTATGAATTATACAGCACACTCGACCTACGCAGTGCCTATCATCAAATTCCTATCCGCGCCGACGAACGTAAATATACTGCTTTCGAGGCTGATGGCAATTTGTACCAATTTTGTCGGATACCCTTCGGTGTGACGAACGGCGTTGCTTGTTTCCAACGCACAATTAATGAAATCATTGCCAAAGAGAAACTGGCTGACACTTTTGCATATATAGACAATGTCACTATATGTGGTAAGTCTATGGAAGAACATGATGCTAATTTAGCCAAGTTCAAAGAAGTGGCGCGGCGTTTCGGACTCATTTTCAATGAAGCAAAGAGTACAATCTGTACAAGAACTGTACGGTTGTTAGGTTATGAAGTATCTAAAGGTACTATCAAACCAGACCCCGATAGATTGCAACCACTCCGCAATCTTCCGCTACCCAGTAACCAAAAATCCCAACAGCGAGCGATCGGGTTGTTTTCATACTATTCGCACTGGATATCACATTTTTCTGATAAAATTTATCCACTCGTGCACAACCAAATATTTCCTCTACCTGAATCGGTGAAAACGGCGTTTCATGTACTGAAATCGGAACTGGCTAACGCCCTGGTTGTTTCTATCGACTACACACAACCGTTGGTAGTCGAGACAGATGCGTCTGATGTGGCAATCGCAGCCACCCTAAATCAAAACGGAAGACCAGTGGCCTTTTTCTCCAGAACACTGTCTCCATCTGAGCAACGCCATTCCGCTGTTGAAAAGGAGGCGTATGCAGTAGTTGAATCTATACGAAAATGGCGACATTACCTCATTGGTAATCACTTCAAGTTGATAACGGATCAACGATCTGTTGCCTTTATGTATGATACTAACCATAAAGGTAAAGTTAAAAATGATAAGGTACTACGGTGGCGCATCGAACTTTCTCCCTTCAGTTATGATGTCGTTTATCGTCCGGGCAAAGAGAATCAAGCTGCCGACGCACTATCCCGCCAGTTTTGTAGCTCCGTGTCTAATTCTTCCGAACTGCTGACCATACATACCTCGTTATGCCACCCCGGAGTCCGAAGAATGTTTCACTTTGTCAGATCGAAAAATCTCCCATATTCGTTGAACGAAGTTAGGGCCGTTGGCGCACAGTGCAGGGTATGTGCGCAAATAAAACCTCGGTTTCATCGTCATATACAGGGAAAACTAATAAAGGCTACCCGGCCGTTTGAACGCCTGAACATCGACTTTAAAGGACCTTTACCTTCGGTTACTCGTAACAAATATCTGCTAACGATCATAGATGAGTATTCGCGATTCCCATTTGCTTTCGCTTGTCCGGATATGAAAGCATCGACACTCATCAGTTGTTTATGTCAACTGTTTTCAATATTCGGTATGCCAGCCTATATTCACTCGGACCGAGGCCCTTCATTCATGTCCGTCGAACTCAAAGAATTTCTGCATAGCAGGCATATAGCTACCAGCAGAACCACTCCCTATAACCCCCAGGGCAACGGACAAGTGGAACGGCTAAACGGAACGCTTTGGAAAGCTATCACACTCGGTCTAACATCTCGTAATCTCGACGTTGGACATTGGGAACATATGCTCATCGATGCTCTGCATGCCATTCGGTCGTTACTCTGTACGGCTACTAATTCAACGCCACATGAGAGAATGTTTGTTCACGAGCGTCGATCATCGTACGGACCATCTCTGCCTAGCTGGCTAACATCACCAGGTCCTGTCCTTGTGAAGTCGTTTGACCGCACATCAAAATATGACCCAATTGTGGAAGAAGCGACGTTACTAGAATGCAATCCTGAGTATGCCCATATTCGGCTCAAAGACGGTAGGGACCAAACAGTTTCCATCCGTCAACTCGCACCCGCAGGTGGCGATAGGGGATCAGAAAATGTTCAGCTCGAGTCTCAAATGTTATCGGATGATAACAACAGTGAAGGAAATGCTGGAATATTACCAGAGATTCGAAACAGACCGAAAACGAGCATATCAGAAAATGCTCAGAATCTTCTGATGCAACAGCAACGCACTCGTCCCTACAATTTACGTAGCCGCGAAGTCTAGATCAGGTGTTACAAACTTTCTTGCGTCCACGACGAAACGCTATTTCAGTGTTCCATTCAGACCCTCAAAATACTAAAAATTACTTTAACCATTTTCAATTGCTCATCCGCACTACGTTCATTTTCTGTTACCAACAACACATTTCTGTTAGGTTCAACTGACATTTTGCCTGCCGGAGTGAATGTAGTGAAAGTTACGCTTTACTGCTATTTCCATCAATTCACTTTCACTTGTCATTTCAGCCTATACTGTGCTTATATGTTGAATAAAGCCTATCCTTAGGCGAAGTCTTCTCATTCTACTCAATGGGTCAATAATCGATTAACTAAGTCATTGACTCCCACTACAGAGCCCTTATGCGAAATAGCTTCACGCGAAGAGCCACATTGAACCAGGACTTCCTTACAGTGAAATGAACCAGGTTTATACAGGTACAACAACTTGGGTCACGTGGTTTTACTTAGCTTGGCAACTGCATAGGAAATCAAGCAAAAGCCAGTCGAGTTCACATACACCGTCCACATAGATGATATCGGCGACCGCTGGGAGTTGGGAGCACATGGTACACTTTTAACCTGAACATCAAGCGACCAAATTCTACTGCAAGAACTTGGTTCCGGCAATCTAGTGTACTGAAATAGTCAGCGCACGACATAATACAGACCCATAGCTGAACTCTGTGACTCAACTAAAATGGCGCAAACACCCCAATACACAACAGTTGTTGAAGGGTCGCCATCCCAAAGTCGTAATTACGTGAATCTGAATCCAATACAAGCCTGTGGGACTAAATAAAAAAAAACAACCGAGGTTACAATTTATCTCTTAGAAGTTCGCGACCACGCAGCAGTTTAACTACGGTAGGGAAGGCTGATAGCAAAGAGACGCAAACAAACAAGTTCACTCCAATCGACCAACTATTATGGTTTGTTTGAAATCCATAAAACCAATTAGTACGGATAACGACACAAACAGGTCTGCAGTTTGAACAAAACTTTCAGCAAAGCGGATTTTGGCATCCGAAAATGTTGATTTGGCCTTTTCAGACCGTTATAGATTTTTAAGACATTGGAATTCACTCAAACGGAGGAATATCCAAAACCAAGAAGACTACCGTACTTGTGTTCCAAGTTCAGTTTTCGGCTAGGTTCACTTCCTGGGGTCGGGGCGGATCTAGAATTCCTCACTCACTATTAACTCTCAGTAGTGTGACCGTAACTCCACTTGACGGAGTTAAAAGAATTCAGATGAGCTCACCTTGTCAACATTTTTCCTTGGTTTGTTTGAAGAATGAGCAGCGTACCACAGCCCGATTTCCTTACCTCGAAGCCACGGAGGTGGGCGACCTGAGTTTTTATCGGGCATGAAACTGGCAGGCAACAAGCGGTCATCGGATCTGTCTAAAACTTCATATAATGCATTGTGAAAGTCGAGCTCACTTTTCTTTGGCATGTTATGTAGTCCAACTCTAATGGGAAAGGTTCGTAGAACATGGAGCACGCTCCTAGACATACGTTGCGACCAAATTTAACGTAGACTAAGAGCGAAACGATGTCTCTGTTTTACATCTAGTATAAGGTCTACACGAAGAAATAACACAACGGTCTGAGTGCTTTTTATAGGGCCTAAAATCCGCAAAAGCAAGACTTTTGGTCAATTTCAAGATTTAGAAGTGGGAAGAGTGCACGAAAAGCTATTAAGGACCTTCAAGGGTTTGAGCATAAGGGTTTGAGAATAAAACTGCAGTTTTGAACAAGGTCCGGTATTCAACAAACAGCTTATTACGCCGATTGAGGAAAACCCGACTTATCCGAATGATTCCACAGAGGGGATAAGTGCAACACTTTTTCTGGGGGCGATATCTGAATAGGACAACCAGTTCAATTCAATTTATCAGCTACAAACCGTGTACCAATTGCTACAGTTTCGATCACGGGAAACGGGAAAGTGGAATATACAACCAAGCCTTGGAGGCCGAGGTATGTTCAGTTTGTTCGGAAATCGGTTAGCTACGCATTGAATGCGATAGCTTCGGTGCACGAGCGCCACTGACTGCGCGATTGGGCCATTTCCGCTTACGTCATTAACCACTGGTGAGTTCAGTCCCGGGGTACCTATCCAGGGAGGCTACAGTTGCCAACCCGACTAAGCTTACTGGTTAGTGTTTTCGTACTTTGTTACCAGGTCATCCACTGCCCACCTCCCGGTCGCTTCCACACAGGACAGGGCTGGGAGAAAAGAGCTCATTATCATTATCATCGACAGCATGACATCAGTGTTCAACACCGATGTTTCACTGTGAGGCAGACGGTCTTCCGGCATGCGGAATACACGTCCCAACCAGAGCAACCCATGAAGCGTGAGTAAGTTATCGATCGCCAGAGAGATCCTTCATCCTAAAACCATCTGGCGTACCTCAACATTACTAATCCGATGTTCCCACCAAACGTGAATTATGCTGCGGAGACACCGATGATCAAACACTGACATCTTCCGTATGTCCACTGTTCGTACGGGTTTAGTCTCTGATTCATAAAGCGGTATGGATTGCACCACCGCAGTGTAAACTCTTCCCTTGACAGACAAGCTCATGTCACTTCAGCTCCTACATCACAATGAAAGCAATTTTGGTCGGACTCTGTCTTCGTATTCTAAGTGGGTTACGTATCCCGCGGGGAATTTAGCACATTTTACGTGAATAATCATGCAGCTCATCTTCAGCTCCATACAGCCTCAGATATCACGCTGCTTTCACGTTTCACTTGGAATGTGATCGGGAAGCCATTATTTCCTAATACCAACTGTTGTGCACAACCATTGGTCACTTACTGATGAACTCACTTGTGGTGTCTTTCAACAATGTGCGATTTAGGGACACTTGCTAACTCGCAGATTGTTTCGATTTGAATTTACTCGGTCTTGGTTAACTAGATCAATTGAATGTTTTGTCGTATCCCTCTACAGCCTGTACGTGACAGCGTGCATCTCACTCATACAAGCATTTCCCAACAACTTACAAGCGCAGTCTAATATTCTCCAGAATATTCTTGGGCATTGTTTCAAAGTCCAAGTTATACCCCATTTGAAGCCAAATAACAAACTTGTCTTCAGACCAAAATGCTTTGTACCATATGCAGCTCTTGCATCTGTGGACGCTGAAATCCATCGTCTCCAGACTTCAAAAGTTACCCAGCCTGTCAGCTATTACTCCTGAGCAGCTCCCATTGTTGTAGTCACGGAGACGAATGGAAAGACCAGAATTTGTACTGACTATTTCACAGGCTTGAACACCAAACGCCATTTATATCAGTATCCTATGCCTGTTCCAGAAGACCCGTATACCAAATGCAATAGTGACGCTTTCTTTGTTAAACTCGATTTGGCTGGTGCCTATCTACAAATCCAAGGGTCTTCTAACCGTTAACATTCACCGTGGTCTTTTCCAGTTCAGTAGTCTTCATTTTGAAATAAAAACATCAGCCACACTCCACCAGATCAAGGACGCTATGCATAAAGGGTTAAGAGACGTCGTGGCGTACTTGGATGATATCACTATGGCAGCCTCTGATCAGAATGAAATCCTTGATCGCTTAACCTCAGTACCTGATCGAATCGAGGAATGCGGCTCTCATGGGAAAATGTGCATTGTAAACTCAACCCTTGACACAGAAGCTGATGTCACGCCTACGCCACAGGTGACGTAGGTTCGCAAAAGTTGCTCTGGCCTTCCCAATCCAGATAGAAATATCATCTTTCGGCAGACCACCGGGACTGATACAGCTGCCCAGGTAAACAAATTTGTCTACTACCTCAATCGCTTCATCCGCAAGCATGAGGCAAGGGTTAGAGACCACCCAGTCTTGCAATAGCACTTTACACATTGCAGGTGTGCAGCACATGCCGAACCGCGAGGTAGAATTATTTAGATCATTCAATATTGTTTGCATTACCACGGGATCAGATCCCAGAAGAGCTATGTCGTCTGCGTACTCGATATCTGTGAGTGGAGGCCCAGGGAGCACTTCGACCCCACAGGCATTAGAGGCTGGTAGTGCGTCTTCCATGATCGTATAAATGACGAAGTTGAAGAGGAACGGTGACAGAGG